CTGATTGCCGAGGTCACCGAGTCCTGATCCGCTTCTTTTTAGCATTTTCTATAAGGACCGTGTTATATGTTTTAATTGAATTACATAAATTTTATTGGTATTTGTCCTTCTTAGGGGATCGTGTTCGCTTTTGTGGTATGAACTTTTTTAACACATGGTTTAAGATTTGTTTGGTTAACTGCTTCTCTCTATGTTAAGCACTTGGTTTAGCTATTGCAATTTGCATCATGTTGAACATTTGCAGTAAAACTTGAAAATGGTTAGGAGAAAATGAAAATGACGACCTACCATTTCAATGCTTAGAAATTACTCCTGCTCATTTTGCAGGTCCAACCCTCCTGTTTTTTCAAGAGAACGCTGGAAGTATCCTTTTATTTTTCATTGGTTTTTTTTAATAATCTTTTTATCGGATTCAATTGGTGGTTTCTCTTTCCTCTTGCGCAGCCTTGACCACTGGTCTGCAGATATTGCTCACCGTCTGGAAATGGTTCGTGTAATGTTACAGAGTTTACAGTGCAATGTCTTCATGCTTTCATATCGAGGGTGAGAGTCTTAAATATCTAATGAATGCTTCTCCGTTTTAGCTTTCATATGTATGACCTTGATTCCTCTTAGTATACCACTCATCTGTCGAATGAAGCTTAATTGATCAAACAGTTATGGAGCGAGTGATGGTTATCCTTCTCAACCTGGAATTATTAATGATGCTCAGGTTCTCTGTTCTGTTCTATTTTTCTTAAAAAAGATACAACCTTAATATGCCATCAATCTTACCTATTTCTTTATTTCCTTCTTTTCTCTTTTTCAATCAGGCTGCATTGGATCATCTCTCTCAGCGAACTGATATTGACGCGGATAGAATAGTAGTCTTTGGAAGATCACTTGGGGGGGCTGTGGGAGCTGCACTCACCAAAAATAACAATGATAAGGTATCCCTCTGGTGATTTTTCCATTTAAATCTCTCTCTTCGTGTGAATTGAGATATCTAGAATAAAAACCAGCATATTGTAATTGTGTGGTTCATATTCATGCTGGACACGTGAGCAACATGTATACTTGTTAAAGATGTTATACTTGTCTACTTCAACATGTATCAATAGTGTGGCAATATTGTAATTCCTTGTAAAGCTTGTGGTTTGATTGGAGATGTTGGATCACTTGCAGTGTAGATTTACATCAATGTGCACGAGTGGAACAAATATATCATATAGTTTTAGACTTTAGTTAGTCTAAAGGATGACAGGAACTCTAACCATGCTAATGAAATAAACCTTAGTCTGTGGCTTGGAAAGAAGGGAATTTACATCATGAGTGGGAATGGAACGAAAATAGATAGACATCCCACTCAGGTATGAGCACTAGTACTATGTTGACGACCTAAAATGGAAGGCGTTACTAGAGATATCGGTTCTCTTAATTGAGTCATTATTGTTAAAGTAGATATGGCATGAGACTATTTTTATTCTCAATCAGGTTGCTCTACTTCATACAGAGGTTTCAAAGCTTTTGTACTTCTAGATATCTTTATCCTTTTGAGCCATATTTGGCATGTCGTTTCTTGGTTTGCCTTTAAATTTCAGGTTGCTGCACTGATACTAGAAAATACTTTCACATCTATTCTGGACATGGCGGGAGTTTTATTCCCTCTCCTGAAGTGGTTTCTTGGAGGCCCTGGTACAAAAGGTCCTAAAATTCTTAATTTTCTTGTTCGCTCTCCATGGTGTACCATTGACGCCATTGGCCAGGTAGCTACATGTTGGTCGGAACTTTAGCTTGACTACTCTTTAGACTATATTAGTGACATGCATGTAGATGAACTGTTAGCACTCTGTCGCATGGTCCTTTGCATGTAAGGTAAGTTGTTTCTAATTTGAGCGGTCACCTTCTATGAATTATTTCTACATGAATTGTGAAGTAAATGAGTTCCACGTTGATTCGTTTGCTTACAATGAATTCATTGCTGACTAGTTATAGACTGGATGCTTAAGAATAAAATTAGTTCACCTTCAAGAAATTTCTTGAACTAGGTCAGGACGATGATGCTTGTTTTTCCTTGTTTGTATGCTCTCTAAGTCACTTTACTAGTTGACAGACCTTTCTTCTATTTTGAACTTGACATCTTCAGATCAAGCAGCCTGTCCTTTTCCTTTCCGGTTTACAAGACGAGACGGTTCCCCCATCCCATATGCAAATGCTGTATGCTAAAGCAGCAGCTCGTAACAGGCGATGTCAATTTGTCGAATTCCCTACTGGCATGCACATGGACACTTGGTTGGTTGAAGGTGACCAATACTGGAAAACAATCAAGCAGTTTTTGGATCAACACATGCCAAAGAAAAAGGAAACCGAATCGTCGCAAAACGGACATGGTAATTCACCTTTTTTTCCCAAATGAATTGTCACTGGATAACATTTGGTAGGATTATATGGCTGCATATTACTTATCCCTCAAGCGTTGCAGCCACCTTGTTTGCAACCTAGTTTCTGTCTTGTTGAAAAGTCCGGAGGAATATATGTTACTATATGTCCTGATGTCATAGCACTGGTTTGCATTGTTTAAGATTATATCCAACTGGAATATTAAACTGGAGCATTTCACAGCTGTTGAACTGTGCTTCATTCATACATCATTCTCTTTATAACACGCATGCTTCGTTTTCTTACCTGCAAAGTATGCAGTTACTTCCCCTCGTCTCGTCATTTTCGTCTCTGGTTAGATATTAACTCCAACTCTATTTAAAAATTATGTTGAATTTTGTTATAATTCTACTTGTTGAAAATTACTTATTGTAATTTTAAATAGAGAGTATGTCTTAGACTTTAGAATATGTGAGAATTATTTTGGAGAGTTTTGGTATATGTATACCAAGTTTTCTTAGATACATAAAATATGATATTATGTATTTATACTCATCGATCTTTACGTTTATAGATGATTATGGTTTCTTTCATCATCGTGTAAGTAAACACGATTAAATTACATTAAATTTCTTTGTTACAATTGTCTTATTTTATGCTGATATTACTTTAATTATTTTTTGCTTATAAATTTCTAACATCTTCCTTATCGATGGGATCCTGATTTCAGATTTCGTGAGGTGGTGACTCACTGGTGTAGCATGCAAAGCTTTTGGATCTCAATTTCGTCCATGTTCTTTTGAGGCTGCATCAAAATTAAATTTTACCCTCTGAATTTTTTCAAGTTAAATTTTCCATTAAGATATTTGATAATTCTTTTCCCTTTAAAATTTTGGAATATTTATATAAATTTATATATTATATTAAATTAAAATTGATATTCTCAAAATAAAAAAAAGTATGTATTTACTTTATAAATTATAATAAAAGCAAATCACAAATATACAATTTTATACTTATTTGTTGAAATATTAATTTCACTTACAAATTAAAATTTCAATACTAATAAGATGTAATAAATTGTTGTAATTGATATATAATTGTAAATTTAGTATTTTTATCAAATTTTTAGTTCATGTCAAATTTTTATTTTTATTTTTCAAATTATGATATTTTCTATAATATTGGGGGCCATCAAAATCTAATATTCCCTCTAATTTTGTGTGTTGATGAAAAGTAATTTTCTTTAATAATCCCGTGTAATATTTAAGCGCTTTTAGATTTCCACTCTCTTTGTATGAATAAAGATAAATTTCTATTAATTTACTTAATATTTATACCAAAATTAATTATTTTGATTTTATTCATTTTTAATTTCATTAAAAAAATATCGAAAAATCCGTTTTAAATTTATGTTTAATTCATATAATCACATAGAACTTTACATAATTTACTGGATGGAGGTACAAATTGTTCCGTATAAACATTTTATTAATATTGCACCTTAAATCACTAGTTCAAGAACCAGACTGAGTCAGCCAAATCACACTCGAGTCAGCCAACTGTTCCTGCCAAGTGTTTTTTTCACTATATATATATATATATATATTAGGATTTCAGGACTCTCCATAGTTTTCCAAGAAAGAAAAATTACTGTAATACATATTTCTCCTATATTGGTGGTGTGAATCAATCTGTAGGTAAATGGAGGGAAGCAATGCTCAAGAACAAGACAACAACGCAGCGGTGGACGCCGTCTTTAGGGATTTCCAAGGCCGCCGTGAAGCTTTGGTGAAAGCCTTAACCACCGGTCTCTCTCTTCTTTCTTTAATCTTTTCCTTTCTTTGTAATCCATTAATCTTTTTCGCATTCTAATTTCCTTTCTTTCTTTTTCTTGGAGCAGAGTTTGAAGAATTCTGTAGGCAATGCGATCCTGGTAAGAGCTTCTTCTCTTTCTTGGCGCATGATTCTTGGACGTCAAGACTTTTTCTTTGAGTTGTGGGATAGTTATTTTCCAAGCTTGGGTTAAACCTTGTGTTTCTTGTCTTCCGTTTCCCAGTCAAGGGCGTCGACCTTTGCTTGTATGGACTTGAAGATGGACGATGGGAAGTTAAACCACTTGAACCTCCAGTCATACCAAACCCTCCATGGGGTTTTAACATTGTTAGAGATTTGGTGGATAAATATGATTGGGCGCGGAATATCGCTGCTGCAAGTGATTCATGGTTACTATCTGTGGCTTTCTTTCTTGGTGCTGTGAATTCTTTTAATCAAGCTGACAGGTATTGCTACTTCTTCCACTGGCTTATGTTGCTCGGAATCTTCATTTCTTGCCCAAGACTCCAAAGTATTAACTTTTGACGCAGGAATCGTCTGTTCACAATGATCAATGCTCTCCCTACATTGTATGAAATTGTGGGTGACAGTGCAAAAGAAGAGCCAAAGGATAAGTCATCAGATTCTGATAATCCAAGCAGCAAGAGAGCCAAATCAACTGAACAAGCTGTAAGTAGGACATTGTGATCCTTATAGTTAAGTGTTGGATGAGTAGGATTAACGTTGAACATGTTTGTTGCCATTAACACCGGGAGGGTCTGGATCTGCTAAATCCTCGAGCAACACCAAGCAAGCAAAGGGCAGAGGAAAGGTATCGGACTTAGGAGGTGTAGAAATGCTCCTCTTGCAGCGACAAGAAACCAAGACTTGGATCGTGTTAGGATGTTTTGTGCATGCCAAGACTTGGCCATCCGTATACATATCAATATCATATGATTTTTCTGATAAAAGACTGATTTGATTGTGGATGCATGAAGGAAAATGATAAAACTCAGTTAGGTCCATAGCAAAGAAACTTAAACGGTACAAGACCATGAGTAAACTAAATGATTACTCCTAAAATATTCTTGTGTTCGGTACATGGATAAAGAAATATGACCTTCACATCGTCCAAATATATAATTGATTCATTGGTAGAGTATTTCACTTAACCCCCTAATTATGAAACTCTTTCCACACTTGATTATATAATTTTTACCCATAGAATAATTAAAAATAATTATCTAAAAATATGATACATGGTTATTTAATATTTGCATATAAATCTTTTATCACTCAATTTTTATAATAAAAGTAAAATTTTATAAATATATTTTTTGAGTAAACTAAATGATTAGTAAATAATTTTTTTTACATGTTTCCATTTGATTATTCAACTATAATTTTTTTAGAAAAATTAATCATTAAATTTTGTGAATTTATTTTTTCAGTCACTTAATCGTTAGGTTTGAAATATGGGTTTGAGGTGTCTATAATAAAATTCTAACGGTGAGAAAATTGTCTAAAAAAAATACTTTGAGATCAATCTCATCGGACAACTGATAGTAGAGATCAAATCAAGAAAAGATTAAACCTTTGGCTTGATTTTTCTTTTTAATTCCAAGTGGGTTTCGAAGAACACTTGCATGAACAAAATAAAAATAAAAAACGTTTTGATGTTAGCTATAGATAAACAGCGGTCGAAAGCGAATGATGATTGAGTGATAATAACGGTGAGAGAAAAGCTTTAGGTTTTCGCATATACTTGGGAAGAAAATTCCATGTCATCATTACATCAAAGAGTTAAACGAGAGTGATCCAGATGAAAGTGCATTAAAAGATTAATGGCTCGTAAGAAGCGGACTGCTCTGGAATCAGACCTCCAGCTGCTGCCAGACCAGAACCTGATCTCAAAACCAAGTGTTCCTGCCAACTGTTTATCATTATAATATAGTTCAGAATTTCATGACTCTCCGTGGTTTTTAAAGAAAGAAAAATCATAATACATATTTCTCCTATATCACTGGTGAAAGCCTTAACCACTGGTCTCTCTCTCTTCTTTCTTTAATCTTTCCCTTTCTTTATAATCCGTTAATCTTCTCCGCATTCAATTTCCCATTCTTTCTTTTGTCTTGGCGTAGATTTTGAAGAATTTCATGAGCAATGCGATCCTAGTAAGAGCTTCTTCTCTTTCTTGGTTATGAAGTTAAACTGCACCTTGCTTTCTTTACAAGGCAATGCTGTATTGTTTTTCCAGATAACGAGGAGGACCTCTGCTTGTATGGACATCCAGATGGGAGATGAGAAGTTAAGCCACCTGTTGAGCTGGTACCTGCAGATATACCGGAGCCTTTTACAGGTATTAACTGTCCAGGAGATGAGGTGTCCGGAAATGACTGGTTGCTTTTTGTTGCCGCTGCAAGTGATTCATGGCTACTAGCAGTGGCTTTCTTTCTTGGTGGTAGCTGTACTTTCACTAAAGCTGACAGGTATAACTTTCCCCCCTCACCCTCTACCACTTTTATCTTGTATTTTTTTAGGGTGTAAAGGAATAAAGTGATCGACAAATTGTTCACCAACATGTTCATGACCGCTAATCAAACATGTTAGTGAACGTTAAACGAAAATGTTAGTGAACAAGTTTATGATTGCTAAAAAATTGAACACGAACACAACCTTATTTGTTCAATTCGGTTCATTTATATCCCATAGAATAACATAGGCAGTACCAATGCTCTCCACGGCTATGTTTCTCGGATTCTTCAATTTTCTTCGAGTATTTGTGTCCATCAGGTAGATATATAACCTAGCTAGAACTTATCTGATTCAGGAATAGTCTCTTCATAATGATCAATGCACTCCCCACGTATGGAAATGCAAATGAAAAGGCAAAGGATAAGCCATCGGATTCTAACCCTAGCAGAGATTCAAGCCAACCGCACAAGCCGTAAGTTGGACATTTTAATGCTTTAAGATCATGTGTTGGGTTAATGGATGAGTAAAAGTAGATGTTTGTTGGCATTTTATACAGGGATGTAGTAAATCCTCAAGCAGGAGCAAGCGAGCAAACGGCAAAGAAAGGGTATCACCGGATGAGGCATGTGGTGCATGTGGAGGACATAAATCACATGATGATTGGATATGATGTGACTTTTGTAATATGTTGTTTCATGACGTATGCGTCAACATTACCCCTCACGAGGCTAAGCAGGCGAAGTTGTACGAATGCCCCTATTGCAGCAACACGAGAAAACAAGACCCGCATCGTGTTGAGTGATTCTAAGTAGTTTTTCGACCATTGTTTTGTATGTGTAAATAAGAACATGAAGGATAACTATGCATTTGATTATCGATGCATGAATGAAACTGATAACAGACTGTGTGCATCCATGAAGATGCAGCAGATTGTGAATCCCATGTTGATCAGTTTGGTTTTCCAATAGGACAAGAGAATGTTAGTTAATCATCACACGTAAATAAGAAGATGAAGCAGATAAGAACTAAGGCTCAACCTCCATAGAATTCTGAAAATGTCAAAAACTGATTTGATTATCCATGCATGCATGAATGAATGATAACATTCAGTTGAAAACACACTTTTTAATCCATGCATGGATCACTTACCTGTAGGGTTGCTATTGCTATTTGTGATGAAGACGAAGCCAATTAACTGTTGGTATATAGTGGAATGCTATTGCTATAGGAAGCAGTAGTCGCTTTATATACTGATGTTTGCCATGATATAGCAACCTATGTTTCGCACCGACTGCTAGGTTTAACTCCTGCGAGAGCATCTGAATGTAAGAAATCCATGGCATCTCAAACCCCTTATATGTTGAAAGAATATATGGTTATAGATTATCTAATGATTATTCAATCGTACCATGTTGAATCAAGTAAAACAAATAAAATTAGTTGAATTGAGAAATCATGTTTTAATATTTAAATTTTATTTGATTTTTTCAAGTTAAATCCGGCTAGGTTTGTGCAGGCTTGGCTTACGCTATTGCTTTGTTTGCTGTTAATGCTTCATTGTAACTTTATTTGGTTGGCAATATATTGATGACCTAATTAATATATTAATTTGTTAACTGATTTTTCAATTATTTAATTTGTAAAAATTTCACGTTACAAGATAGTATATATTCATGATCTTTGGAGAGAACAACACACCCTTTAATCACGATGAATTCAACTCAATCGTATTTTTAACATAAAACATAAAAGAGGAAGCATGAAAGAAATCCATGGCATTTACAATTTTCAATTTGGATACAAGCATACAGAAACTCCCCTGAGCAGTAATGGCAGGGGATTACAATCTTGGGGGACTAAATCTAATATTTCCCCATTTCCAATCATTCAAAAACCTCACAGGATTACGAAGCTGTATGTAAAGGGTTTCTTCTTTTCATTCAAAAAGAGAGAAAAAGAAATCCTGTATTTGTGTTTCAACACGAATTTTTTGTCTTAAAACAAAGCAAGTACATCTGCTGCTTTAACAATTGAGAGTTTGCCATTTCAATCATCTGATGATGAATGCAAAATGTATATATCAGAACGAAATCAGAGAGAGTAAAATTCGAGCGAATTAAATGGTATTACCTCGAAACCAATCTTTTCGTACAGTTCAATAGCAGGCTCGTTGTCTCTATGAACATGCACGTAAACTGGTTCCACACCTGCAGCCAAATGACCAACTTAGAAAGCGAATTTTTCCTACTGTTTGTTGCATTAGATGAGGTGCATATAAAGGAAAAGTTTGTAATTTTCTACCCTTTAATCTCGCTGATTCGATAACAAAATACAACATATTGCTAGCAATGCTCTGTCGACGGGCTGATTTTGCCACACATAAGTTGGAAACATAAACATATTTATTCAGGTTTGTCCTGCTGATGCCGCAGAACATATGCTTTTCTCGTTCCTGCAAGAGGTTAGATTCACGAGTATCTTAACACATAACCTATTTACCTAGATCAACGAAAGAAGAAAGCAGTTTGAATAAAAAGAATGTGGACGATACCCCGGGAAAAGACTCTCCATGCAACAAATGTCGAAAGCTGAAATCAAGGGTTCCGACCACACTTTTCAGCACTGTGCGCTTGATATTCCTCTCCTCCTTCCTAACCTGATAATTAGAAAGACACGTCATCTAAAGAAAATGACAACATAACACAGGTGCTTTATGTATCCGAGTAACTGGATTGAAATAGAGATCATAATCCTCACCCCGAAAGAGATAACAAACATATAAAAAGCAATAAGAATCTGGGAAAAGATGTCCTGTAAGAACATCATACCGTGACAACACAAGTATATGTCCGCCCATGTTGCCCGCTGTATCGCCTTTTTATGGCATTGAACTCCTACAAGGTAAGGAAACTTTCTAAGCATACATGTGATCAAATTTCAATCAATTAAGTGAAGAAAACTAATCTCTCCTACCTGCTCAGCAAATTGCCTTTTGAAGCTATCGACGTATCTATATAATCAGGAATAGCAAAAATCAGGAGTATCGATGTATGCACATTAGCAAAAGAAGAAAAGTATCTATTCGAGAATGCTGAATTCGTAAGAGTGGGAATTGAATCAAATCCATTGTCAACGTCTTAATAGAATTATATCTTCTCCTAAACCTGATAGACTTTCAGCAGTAAAACTTCGAAACAATTAACTCACACCAAATAAATATTTCCACTGTTTGGTCAAATTTTTGTTTCTTTGCAGAAAAGAGCCACTCCTCTGCATCACTATCTCTATACCATAAATAGCTATCAAATTAGGACTCAATGGTTAATTTCTTAAGATAAGTCCAAAAATGGCAACAACAAAAAAATATTATTCCCATTACTTGAAGAAATTGAATCCTTACCTTTCACCTGGTCGATCCTCCCAGTGAGTTTCTGCTCTCAGCCATGCTGCTGTCTATTACAAAAATCAAAACAAAATTTTCATTAGCATCAAAAGGGACAATTTGATCAAATAAAAAGGAAGTAAAATAATTAAGGTTAAAAAAGGGTATACCCAGAATTCTTCATCAAGAACAGCCTCTCTTGCAACGAATCTTCCGAATTCTAATCTTTGATCTTGATCCAGCTCCTGTTCCGACGGTTGCAGCCGATCAAACCTGAGATTAGAGGGCCTTGGGTTTTCAATTTGAGGAATTGACGACGTATGCAGCTGTATCGAAAGTTCCTCCTTTTTCACCTTTTCGAATGATTTAGAATCCATTTTTCTAATCAATCATACAAAAGAAGTCATTAAATATCTAAAAAGTACGATGCAGAAACATTTATTTTTTTCAAAAGAAACTGAAAATCCAAATATATATATATATATATATATATAACTCACACGGTGGGAGAAAGGGAGAGTCTTTGAAGTTTGTGGCGGGGGTTGGATCCATGAGAAGAGAAAGTAAGGAATTCAGTTCTGTAAACCGAGACGGTTGACATGGCAGAGCTAAAATTTTTTCCGGGAAAATTTAAAATTCTCGGAAAATATATATGGTGTTTTCCTTATTTGAAAATTGGGAAAAATGTGAAAAATATTAGTAAAATGCAAAAGGAGAAGGAAGCGAAGACGGCGACGCGCGTTGGAAGTGGGGGCCATTCAAAGAGTGGATAAGATGAAATTTTGTGAAACAGTAGACGTGGGTGGAGATTTTGACACGTGGATGATCTGTGATGTGGCATTAAGGTCAATTGATTGGGCAGGGAAAAATCTGTAGAATAATACGTTGAAAATTTATTTTTGTTTAGATACTGCAGTTGAAGGATTATTTGTTAATATGGAGTGAATGCTATAATGTTTTATAGGTTATCATGTCTTTTAAACGACCTACGTTAATTTCTCTAAGTAAAAAATATTATCTATATCGGTATTTATGCTTTTAGCCGAGGGCACACTGTGCGACTTATGTAGGTCGTTCGGAGTGCATGAGAACCTATATTAATCGTTCGGAACAACCGGCGACCTCGTGGATCACTGTAACAATCACCTCAAATGAAAATAATAATTAATGGACTGCATTATTCCATGATTTTTTTCCCGATGCATTATTCCACCGATTTTGCCGATTGAGGTATATTATTTATTATTTTTCTTCTTCCCTTTTCAGAAGAGAAGACAAATATAATTAGATACGATCACTTTTAGTTCATCCAAAATTTACTTGAAAGAATGGGATCTCGTGATCACATGTTCTTCCAACGTGATTTGTAATTTAGAAAGCGATATGTGTCAGTGGACTAGAGGTGTTATGAGTTTGAAATCGGAGTAAACTTCGGCTGGCAGATTCAGGGGGGACTCATTATTGTCCCTTGTGCTGAAATGAATTCGTCGTTTCTTTGATTTTGAGAGATTTTTTCAGAATAGAGACTGCTCTGCACTTGATATTGTTGCTCGTCTAAAGGAGCTCATTAGAATTCGTTTCAAGGATAGGGAAGGGCTTGTTAATGAGAGAATTTGTTTGAATTGAGGCCTTTGATGGCTACTTCTTGTTGCTTCCTTTAGGTTCCCCTGCTGTATATAATTCTGTTTGGTTTTTTATTAAGCTGTACATTAATTTTTTCAGCAGCTAAACTAAGAGGTTCTCTACAACAACTCCGATGGCGCCACCACAGCAGTGGCCCCCGGCAAGAAACCAACACGAATACATGTATTCCTATCAGCCCTCAAAATCAGTTTTCACCCCTGGCAATACTTGCTCTTCATCTTCTCATCAAACTCCTTAGCTTTAAACTCGGCAATCCTCGCCGCGTTTGCCATCGATTCCTCTTGCACTCTCTGCAACCTCCTGCTCTGTTTCTTTGCGGTCGACTCTCTCTCGGCTTCTAATCCTTCATATTCCCTCACCCAACAATGATGCACCGCGCAGGACAGCGCCAAGACCAGCAACTGCATCACCAACATCGCCATTAAAACCCCACACTCCACTCTCACCAACGGCTTCGCTTCTTTAACATCCAAAGGGGTTTTCAGCATCGATATGCTCGATTTATCTTGGGTGAACAAAGACAGTATGAGGCAACGGGAAGTGAAATGTGGGTTATGAAGCAGAAGCGTGCTAACTGAGAGTATAAACCTACAAAAGAGGAGAGGAGGGAGATGGAGGAGACCATGAGGAAAGCAAAACCGAGTGAAGTCGGTGGCCATTTAAGGACGATAATGGGAGCAATGGAGGATGCAGAGAGGGTGAAGAGAATGAAGTTTAAGAAGGAAAGGAGGAGATTTGGGAAGGAAAAGGATCTTCTGAGCTTAGAGGAAGTCTATGGAGTCTTGAAGAAAGTGAAGGATTTGAAATGTTATATATAACGAGTGTTGTAGATGGCCGTTGCAGGATTCAAAGGTTAAACGACTACGTGGAGAGGGTCCACACTTTTAACCTCGTTTGATGATGTTTCCCTCTACATGGTTTCAAAACGTTCAAAAAGAAAGATTCTAATACAGTATTTGGCTTTCAAATTTCAAAGTCTATCGACTCATTCGAATATAAAAATGATTGCAGTCCAAGACGTATTATTGAGAGGGACAATCACATATGAAGAAAGAAAGAAAGAAACCCAAACTAATAATGTTGCACCACTAGTTACTAATTGCAAACATTTGAATAATCTCAAACAGTAAAAATAACCTGATTTACCAGTAATTTCACGGGGAGACTCCCCGATAGAAGTAATTAACATATGAATGGAAGTTGGGATAAAGGAAATAAAAGGAGCATAACAGAGCCAACTTCATACATGAACATGCTTGAATTTTGAGGACAATCTTTGAATTTGAAATTCAGGTTTCTTCAAGCACCGGCTACTTAATGCTATATGGAAGAGCCACAACATTCGTATAGTAAGTGTACCTTCATTCAGTTTCAGTTCAAGCTGGCCCTGCTAAGATTTGAAGTTTTTGGAAAGAAAACTGTTATAAAAAAATTATTGTTCATCTGAATCTAAATGCAGGAAAGAAACACGATGAGGGTCTGTTGTGAAATATGACTCGTCATTCTAATGTGAAATGAAGCATGTTAGAGGCAGACAGATAGCATAGGTAAAAATGCAGATGTCAAAAGTCAGTTAAAGTGTGTTAAAAGTCGATCTTAAATGCTCCAAAAAAGGTCGAGATAATCATACCTGATGTGTTGACAACTGATCAAGACGGATCAGACGAATGAGTCACAATGGCCTCAACTCTATCTAATGATGCTTGCAACCGCCCTGAGTTCAAGTTGAACAATGGTTCATCGGTACCAAGAGCTCTGTTAAATTCAAGATACTAATGTTAAGCTACAAATAATCACCACTGGTAAAAGAAGGAATATAATGAATTACTGAATAAAAAAATTCTAGAGAAACAAAATGACACTATTAACAAGAAGAAGAAGCATAACAATAACACATTTCATATATTCCAAGTTGTTTTTAAAGCATATGAGTTATAACATCAATGAACATTCTATCATCAGGAGTCCATAGCTATTGACTTGGGTACAACACCAAGGAAACAACCTGCAAAGTATTCAACAAATTATAGGGGACGATTCGGAAAGCTAACATCAAAGACAAAACTTCTACCATACATGAGCTTAACGCTTCCTCCATTGCCACATAACATTCTTAAATACAACATCCAAAGAACAAAAAGGAACTTACCCTGTAGCTTCCGGTAGAACATAATCCGCCCTCCACCCAAATCGAAAATCCAGTCCAGGAACCAAACCAAGTGTTGTCTTATTCCGAATCCGAGAAACTCCATCTCCACCCAAACAGGTGGTGAGTTTCCATTTCCATCCAGTTGCATTCATCTTGAAATTATGGCCTATCCCAACCTATTTCCAAAATATAGGCAAGTAATGCACAGGGAACAAATAAAGTTACCAACAACATGAATACATTCCATCACTACCAGTAAAGTTCATCTGGTCTGCCAAAGCCAAAAAGATAAAGCACAAAGACCAAACCTGGAGATTAAGAAATTTCGTAACAGGAATCTTTTTCGAAAGAAGTCGAACATCTTGATGTAAAGGCTCATAAGCAAACTTCCACCTCCGTTCAGGGGATAAAGGCTTCAGCACAAGCTTAGTTTGGAAATCATTGATGGGGGCATTGTAGAACTGAATCAAAACTAAGATGTAAACACTCGACAGGTCAAAAACAACAACAATCTCTACAGGATAAGGAGAATTCAATAGCATATTCTATGAAAGGAGCAATCCAAGACTGTAAAAAAAGCAAAGAAAAATAACCTCCAAATTGACACCAACTCGCAACCCCTGAATTTCTTTTCTGAATTTGAGGAACAGTTCAGATGGAATCAAATTTATGTTATATAATTCATCCCAGGAAGTGGGTTCTTCACCATTAGGCGCCGGATCCATTTCCGACCCACCAAAACTGAAAAATCAGTTCCCAAGGGAACCCAGACGATGAAAGACAAATTTAACTCACAGTGGGACTTTCAGTACATAAAAGTTCTGAGTTGAAAGTATACTTACCTATAAGATAAGGTAGGATTATACTATAAAAAGTGAATACATAAGATTTTGGGATGAAGGGGATATTTTGTCAAATGTTTTCGGGTCCGCTTTCTGCAATACTTCGGCAATTTTAATGAAGGAGATTTTGAGGTCGTCTTCTTATGAATTTCTTATGATTTGGCCTTATCTGTCTGTGAATACTTGTTCTTTTATTCCTCCTCTGGTTTGAGCTTGGGCCAAGATCCACCGTATTCGATTTCAGTTCATCAGGGACCACCAGGATTCATAGATGCATAAGGCCCTGATCCAGTGCTATTGATTCGTAGCACTATTTCCGGTGAAAGTACTTTACAGGTCCTCAATTGTAGATATCGGTTCGAATTAGTCTCATTTTAGAGATTTTATCCTTAATTTTTAAAAATTGTAATACAAGTATTTAGTCATTAAATTTTTAACAATATGATAATGTAACCGTTTTTTCTTTTTCGTAAATTCTATTTTGTATATCAATTTTATCATTAAACTTTGAAATATTTCATTTAACGAAACATGATTTTAATTTGTATATCCTTTCAATTCATGCAGACAATTATCAACTCTTTTTGTCATCGTTATCGATTAATTGACATTCATCACAGGTTATCATTTGTGAATAACTGATATCAAAACATTCATATTTTATTCATATTTCTTCTCTTTAAATTGATTTTTCAGAAAATTCATTCAAAATCGACAAAAATCATCTAAAAATTCAACATCATCTTATTTAGGGTGGCAAAACAAAAAAAACAAAAAGTGACGATTTTCGACGATATTTAAAATGAGTGAAATGGGTGACTTTTTTTATAAGTATCAAACTATCATACCTTCAATTTAACTAAAATTAATGCATTTTAAAATTTAATAATATTGCCGATTAAAATACTAAAGTTTAGTTTACCCATTAATATAATATATTCATAATTTAGAACTACAAATAAGAAAAAATAACTTTAACCTCACAAATGACAAAGATCAAGAACCATAAGGATGACCTTAACTAAGAATCCCAGGAAATCAATCACCAAGATTCAAGCCACTCTAAAGCACTGATCATTGTACTATAACCATCACTGAACTAACACAGTAACATAGTGACCCCGGTCCGGTAGCCAGCATAGATATCACTGAGAAATAAGAAGGTGGTCAACGTTTGCTGCTTAGGAAGAGAATGTATTTTAGTTCTTGTACTATACAACAAAGCAGTCTCATTATTATCTCAAAGCAAACAAGAGAATTGGAGAAATACAATACAGCTGCAGGGATTACTTCTCAAAATGCATGGCCATGGTACACCTACAAATTCAAGTTAAACCATTTGATCAAAGTAGGAAACAGGGAGGTGACGGTTTCCATTCTCAAAGATCAATGCCATTAGGGTATTTCCAGTTTCATAATTTCGAATGCGGAGCTTTGGTTGAGTTCAACACGGTTTGTTGTCATTGTTGCCACTATGAACAGCCAAACCAGCTATGTTAGGAGTTGAAGCATCAGCATACTGTAGATCAGATAACGAGAAAGACCGACAAGGAGGGTTCGGTCGAGAAGTCGGCGATGATGATCTGATGGCAGTTGATTTTTTATACTGTGGATGCAGAGGTGGAAGGCAGCTGGACGGTGATGATGAAATCGAGTTGAAGTCGGAGGTGCTCGCAATAGCTCGAAGAGCCATTGAACTTCGGTTGCGATTTTCCCCCAGAAAATAACCATGAGCTAATAAGTTCTTGCGTTTCCTGTTATAAGGATCCTCCGGCTTGGCGAAATCTTTAACGGATGGAGCAGCAGCTGCATCGGCTAGACTTGTGAAGGACTTTGATCTGCCAGTATAAAAGTTGGATATGCCTCTTCTGAAATAAGGAAAACTACAACAGTAAGAAATTGAAGCACTAAACTGATGAAGCATACAAAATCACAGAAATCCTTCTCAGAAAACATTTTCCCGAGATACAAGCAATGCTTGCTAGGAAAAATAGGAGCTCCTAATCTTCAAAGATGAATTTACATTATCCCGGGATGCTTTAACAGCATTAGATTAACAAAGCATGCAATTTCAAGCAGTGATTTGTGGTCAGATAGTTTAATTTACAAGTGCATCAGCAGATTATCGCTAAGTTGAATCAATCTCACAATAAACCCTAACCATTCCCCTAAACTTTCTTACATAATTTTAATAAAATCCATCAACATAGAATCATTACTAGATCAAAACCCAGAAAGTATAAGTCCACAAAATTTGTGGGCTTGGTTTCTTTCTTAAAAAAAATACCTCATAGGCAAAGCATCCACTAGAGCATCCATGGAATCCAAGGGTTCTTTAAGCTGGCTTTCCACTTCAGCCTCCGCTGAATCTTCACCGTCCGATGATGATTCACCGGAAACATCACTGTTCCTTCCGATCGACGACGAACTACAAGACCCCAAATCATCATCTTCTCTATCCACTTCCGACGAAAACCTCCCCGGATCCTCCGGCGAATCGTGAACCGAGATACGCTGCATCCCGTGGATAAACCCAGAGGATCCCACTGAACTAGAATCATCATTCATTTCGAAAACAAACGACACCGTCTGAGAAAACGAAAGTAGCAGATGAAGTAAAGGGAGTTAGTAAAAGCAGTGGATACATCAATTATCTGGTGAAGTGCACATGGGGAGGCGATATTTCCTACATTGTTGATAAAATGTAGAGATAAAAAAAAAAAAAAGAGGGTTACTTTGAATTTCTTATGTATTATATTACTAGACTCTGAAATGGTTGAATACTGAATCGAATAAACGAAGATGGGGAAGCCTTATCCTGATGGGAAATTCCTTTCTTTTTTTGTTGTTGAAAATTGTAAGATAGAAGAAAGAAGAAAACAGATGAGCAAATAAGATTGGATAGAGATATTTTGGTTTGTGTAGGAATCAAGAAATAAAGGGAGCGGCGTAGGAGTCTAGGGATGGGCATGGATTGGCTTTCAGCCTATCCGACAAAAAAAAATATATTCTTCATTCGATCCGATTTAAAAAATATATATTTTTCATTCAATTCGAATTCGATTTATTTTTTAAAATAAAATTTAAATTCGATCTAATCTGACCTGAAATAATAAAAAATTATTATTTTTGTTCAATAAAAATAATAATTTAATTAAAAATATAATATATAGATGAGTATTATTATATTATTCTTAAATATATATAGTAAAGAAATGACCATCCAGCTCAGTTGGTAGAACACAAGGCTTTTATCCTTGGGGTCGTGGGATTGAGTCCAATGGAAGGCATTTCATAATTCGGAGATATCCTACGGAAACTGCTCTTAACCTAACGTTGTGGGCAGTTTACTATCCTACCTCTCCTTACCACATTACATATGGCAATAAGGGTCAGCTAAATTAAATATATATGGTAAAATTATATTTTTTTGGACCAAATCGGGTCAAATATTTTTCATCCAAAACTCAAATCTGACCCAACCTAAATATCACTTTTAACAAAATCCAATCCGACCCAATTCAAACTAATTTTAAAAAAAAATAAAACTCGATCGAGTCGAATCAAAATTCATTGAATTCAAGTTCAATGTACATCCCTAGGTAGGACTTTCTTGTAGACAACGTTGTCCTTGGTTTTGGTTGACTGCTTCCTGCGATGCCCATCGTCACGTTTAATCAATTGCTTCTTTTTTTTTTTTTAAAAAAAAAACAACATAAACTTTCATTATTGGAAGAGAATATGGTACAGAAAGGACGGGGAAAGGCCCGGAAACACCTGGGCCAACCCCACTCAAACGACTGAGGCCCAAAATCAAAATGGGCAGATTTTTTTATTAAAATAATCCAATAAAGTAGTATTTGTTTACCCAAGATATAATTGATCGAACTTTAATTCTTTAAGAATAAAAACATTTTCTCGTATCACTAAAATTACTCTATGAGTTCGATCAGTATAAATCTTAAATAACGAAAAAATAAAAGTACGTAAAACAATAGCAAAAAATAATTTTGAGGGAGTTTCATATAACGACAAGAAAAACATCTGTTAAACAACAATTTTTTTAATTGATTTATTGAATTTATGTAAATAACAAAGATGAATTATGTAATTACATTACTTTTTAAATATTATATTATTTTTCATTAAATATTAACAATAAGTGAATTAATTAACATCATTAATACTTGATTGAAAAAAATTAATAAGCCAATGATTACATGAATTTGTAACCTCGGTGGTAAATAGATTGTTGTTATTTCTTGAAATCTCATATTCGAACATCAAGAATATTAGGAGTACGAGCTTTCAATGTCAATTGATTGAGAGTTATCGTTGAACAGATACTATTTTGTACTTACTTTATATTATTATTTTGATAATAATAATAATAAGTCAATGGTCAAATTGAAATCTTTCAACAGTTTGAGTGATACCCTAAGATAAATTAGCTCGGTCCAATGGAGATTTTTGTTGGGCTTCATACGGAAACAATACCGTAGCATTATTTTGGTCTGTCATCAACCTTAAAACCCTCGAACAACCGAATCCAACTGCAAAAACCCTTCATCCTAAAATCCTAAATCCTCGTTCTGCATCATTTTTGTTGCCATCTTTCACTAATGTCGGTCGCAACTGCAAGTAATGGCAGCAGAATCGCGACTTACGAGGACTTCGTGAAAGTCCACGGTCTGCTCCTAGCAGCATCGGGGCTGCCCCGATCACTCCATTTCAAACTGTTCCAGAAGCTAACATCTGAAACGTTTGACGGTGGAGCTCACTTCGAGATCGAACCTTGCGAGGATGGTCGTCAGAGACGGTTATTATTAACTTCCGAAACCATGGCGAAAGACTCCAATGTTTTCCTCATCGACCACGCCTGGACATTTCGAGCCTCAGACGCCTATAAACAGGTTCAGTTTCTTTTTGCTTTAAAAAAAACACAAACCCAGAATTCCAGTAAAGTTCTTTTATGTGATACGTGGTGTTTTGTTATTGGTTTACAGTTGCAGGAGGTCCCGGGGCTTGCGCAGAGGATGGCTGCTCTAATGTGCGTGGAAGGCGATGACGATGACGGCGGTTTAGAACAAGCGGTTGAATGTGGCGGGAAAATGACGGTGGAGGAAGCTTTGGAGAGCGAAATTCGAAATGCGAAAGAGAGTGGAGATGGATTTGTGAGATGGTTGGAGCTAGAGGAGCTTGGACTTGACGACACCACCCTCCTTTCTCTCGATTTATCCACTAAATTTCCGGTTTTTAAACCACCGTTTTATCTTACTTTACATATTCTCTCGTTTCTGTCTGAAATCTTTTTTGGCTTATGTATTTGTTCTGTTTTGATTGCAGGATTTGTTGGCTCTCAGCTTGTGCGGGAACAAGCTCGATAACCGGGAGAAAATTGTCGAGGAAGTCACTAAGTTTAAGAATTTAAAGGGTCTTTGGCTGAACAATAACCCAGTTATTGCAAAAAGGTTTTTTTCTTGTTCTCACTTGAAGATTAAACTGTTTAAGTTACTGTTAATTGGGGTTGTATTGAGTATCTGTTCCTGTTTATAGTGATTGTGGTATGGAAGATGCAATTCTTCGAGGATGTCTGAAACTTGAAATCTATAACTCTCGTTTTACCCGCAATTTTGGAGTGTGGGCATTGGGGTTTTGTGCTGATGTTTATGGGAAGGATAATCCTGGAAGTGGTCATCTGGGAGACCTTCCTTTGCAAAGTGTGACCTCACTTGATCTTTCGAATAGAGGCATCCATAGTCTGATCAATAAGGTGTAATATACATAGTGTTTTCCCTTTCGTTTCCGAATTTAATCATAATGTGGAAATAAGATGTGATACGGTTCTGCTTTTCTGTTTTCAGGCTTTTTCTCCTTTTGAGATGCCAAATCTTTCGTATTTGAACATTCGTGGCAATCCGATTGAAGAAAATTCAGTCAGTGATTTGTTTGGACTCTTGAAGGCCTTTTATTGCCTACAATCTTTAGAGGTATGTTTGTTGGGAAACGTCGCTTTGATGCTACAAAGGTGTGAGGCAGTTGGAACGTTTTATTTCCTCTTATATCAATTGTTCTTACAGGTGGATATACCTGGCCCACTTGGAGATAGTGCTGTGGAAATCCTTGAATCTCTTCCCACTCTTTCCTTGCTGAACGGTGTTGATGATCCAAAATCTTAGAAGCTGAAAAGCATGTTGTTGATTCAATGCTTCAGCCTCGTCTGCCTGAATGGACTGCCGGAGAACCTCTTGTTGATCGTGTTCTTAATGCAATGTGGTTATATTTAATGACTTATAGACTTGCAGATGAGGAAAAGCTCGATGAAACTCCTGTGTGGTATGTACTTTTACATTGATATTTTTACTTGCTTCTGTACCTCCGACAATTTTTTTTATCATTTATTGAATTCTTGGAAGCTATCATCAGTATTTAGTCTAGGCTTAAACATTAAAAGCCGCAAGCATCTGCTTGCAATCATCATTTCTAAGATGTTTGTGAATTCATTATATTCAATTATCATGAAAATATTTAAGTTCTAAGTTCTTTCACAGGTATGTTATGGATGAACTCGGTTCAGCTTTGCGGCATAGTGATGAACCAAATTTCAGAGTGGCTCCCTTTCTCTTCATGCCAGAGGGGAACCTGGCATCAGCAGTGAGGTACTTTGTACTGTGTTCAGTAGTTTTTTAGTTATATATTGTGTATAAAATTTACACTCGGAGGTGCTTGCCTCCACATGTTCATTCATCCGTGCTATCCGTTCTTGTAGTGTAACTTTTCTACTCTTTCAATTGAGATCCATTCATGCAGAGTCATGACACATGTTAACTTCCTCTCTCAGTTTCTCAATATTATGGCCATTCCAGAATGTTAAGAAAGGTGATGAGTGCACTCGTGATTATCTCTTTGGTATTGGTGAGGACAAGCAGCGTTCTGCCAGACTCACAGCTTGGTTTCACACGCCTCAGCTTTATTTTATCCAGGTATTTTATTCTGTTGATTGAATTACCTCTGTTTCCATTTAAACTGTGGTCCGCCGCTCTGCTTCTTGGATTCTTAGTAATTCACATCACTTTATGCAGGAATATGAGAAGCATTTCAATAACTTGCAATCAAAAAGTTTACCTTCTCTACCAGTAAATTCTTCTGCCCCTAGTGTTGTGCGTCGCATTGATGGGAGTGCATTACGTGTTTACACCGACATACCGCAGGTTGAAGAATTTTTGACACGGCCAGAATTTGTCATCAGTATGTGCTATTTTCCTTGCAGGGCAAAGTTTTTTCATTTTGCATTCGACCCTTTTTTTCCCTCTGAAACATTAGTATCCGATGAGAATTATTTAAAGCAATTTAGACATTTTATTTATTAAAAGGGAAGTAAATGTCAATTCTTATGCGGCATATCTGAAATCTGTTGCACATTGAATATACCGGAGTTTGTATTTGTTGGATTCAGTACTCTTTCTTATCTGGGATTTTTTATTCTTGTTAATGCTAGCAGCAAATGAGCCAAAGGATGCAGATATTATATGGACAAGTATGCAGATAGATGAAGAGATGAAAAAGGCTGTGGGAATAACAGACCAACAATACGTAAATCAATTTCCTTTTGAGGCTTGTGTCGTGATGAAACATCATTTGGCAGATACTATACAAAAGGTTGAGATTGCCAACTTATTTTACATATTAATGGTTGCAGCTAGACCCTGTTTTCAAGAATCAAAATTTTTCTTTTACTTATCACGATACTAAACTGCTGGCTTGTTTTTTCAATGACAATCATATTTCTTCCGATCGTTTTAAAACTTGATATGAAGATAACCTCTTCTTTCCTTGCAATAGGCGCAGGGATCTCCCGGATGGATGCAACCTACTTATAATCTTGAAACACATCTATCTCAACTCATTGGTGATTATTTCTGCGCGAGAGAGATGGGCGCAACAATCTATGGATCTTAAAACCTTGGAACATGGCACGAACAATTGATACAACTGTAACTGATAATTTATCTGCTATTATTCGTCTCATGGAAACTGGTCCGAAAATATGCCAAAAGTACATTGAGCATCCTGCTCTGTTTCTAGGAAAAAAGTTTGATCTACGTTATATCGTACTCGTTCGCAGTATAAACCCTTTGGAGATCTTCCTTTCAGATATCTTCTGGGTAATGCACATTCTGTTGTCTAACTGAGATGCCATAAATATAATGAGTTTCCTTTAGAGGTCTTTTCTTGTTTAAATATTTTCTGCTATTAAAATACCTTATTTAGATTTCCTGTTAATTTCAGGTCCGACTGGCAAACAACCTGTATACCCTTGAGAAGCATAGTCTTTTCGAGTACGAGACACACTTCACTGTTATGGTATGTGGAGGCAGTTTCTTTTGACATCTTGAATAGAGTACATATATTTTATGCTTTCCCATTAAATTAATGCAGTTCTTGTGGAGTTTAACGTAACCTTCATATTTTTACATCTAGTAATTTAATTATTCTACGACTTTCAGAACTATGGTCGGAGGTTGAATCACATGAACACACCAGAATTTGTTATGGAGTTTGAGAAGGAGCATCGAGGTATATGTGCTTGCTGAATTTGTGCTCCCCCCCCCCCCATATTGGCTTTCCCTTGAACAAAATGAATGTACACAGTTTGGAAGCAACCTAGAGTCGTTTCTTTATTGATGGTTTACGTGTTTGTTACAGTTAAATGGCTCGACATCCACCAGAGAGTAAAAAGCATGATCAGATCCGTCTTCGAGTCAGCAGCATCAGTACATCCAGAGATGCATGATCCGAAGTCTAGGGCCATGTATGGTGTGGATGTAATGCTTGATGCCTCTTTCCAACCTAAGTTATTGGAGGTTTGTTATTGAAAATTACATCCATCCATTCTATGTTCTGTTTCATGACTGAATAAGGCATAAATTGCTTTTATTGATTACTGGTGATCTTCTCACCCGATGATTGTAATCCTCTTTTCCCAACCGGATATGCCAATTTTTATGCAGGTTACGTACTGTCCCGACTGTGGGAGAGCATGCAAGTACGACACCGAAGCGATAATCGGAGGGGGTGAAACAGTTCGAGGTCGTGACTTCTTCAATCTTGTGTTTGGTTGTCTCTTCTTGAATGAAACTGTTCATGTAAGCCAATTGTAATTTGACTATATTGAAACGGGGTGAACCGATTCGAAGTCAGGACGGCTTCTTTGATTTTGAGTTTGTGGTCTCTTTCTAAACGAAACTATTTATTTCTGATGTGTGCAACAAATATTGCATCTTACATATCTTTAAACCTTGCACATGAACCCACGGTTTCAACTATACCATACCATGATTCGATGGCTAGGGAATGATCCGATCGAAGGTGGTTCGTCGATCGGATTATGCAACAATAGGGTATAATGCAGAATTTGCCACAACAGATGTCCGAAATTGCAAATTAAATATAGTTAAACTTGGTGTTTATTTTTCAATTGAAGTCTGATGGAATAGATTGAAACTAATATACAAGATACGTTTCAAATGTAACTTTGATTTTTCACGTCTTAGATATAGCGACTGAATTTGACGTCCCCCCCCCCCCCACACATGGGGTTGATATTGAATTAGACATTTATGAGGTATCAAGATGTGTTTGTATTATTATATTAGTAATTTATAAGAGATTAAATCATAAAATCGATATTTTGAGGAGGTTAAGACGCAAATTTATCAATATATTAATTTAAATTTGATAAAACTTGAAAGGGCTAAAACTTAAATTTAGCATTTAATAGGGGAGTCAAAACCTAAAGTGGGGCCCTTATCGTAATCTTCTCTTTGGTAGCTTAAAAAGCAAAGTTAATATGCCTACTGAATACTAACTCAATGTCTTTGGTAGTTCACCTGAAAAATAATTTTTTTTATATAATAATAACCTTGATTTGAATTTTGAAGATCGAATATTGTACACTTCTTCCCAATTTTGGTATTTCACTATAAAAAATCGATTAATTGAATATTAGTTTGAATCGTAATCTATCATTTTAAAATAAAATGCATATATTTTCTTTTTAATTGGGGTTAACGATATCATTCATCACTAAACTTTATTTTCTCTCCTATTTTGCTCAACGTACTTTTGGTTTTTTCAACTTAATCACTAAACTTTATACATTAAATTTTTTTAATCACTCAATCGTTTTCTTACTCTAATATTATAACCTGTCATGACATGACGTTTTATATGAGTTTTTAAATTGTTGACCGGTTCTTTTATTTCTTCCAACGCCATGGAAGTAGATAAATTCATACTCCTCTTTTTAGTCATTTTCAGAAGAAATAATAGTAAAAACCCTAACCTCCAATCCAAACTAAACGCCACTGATCCATTGTCAGCTTCCACTCCTTCTAATCCTACTTCATCCTCAACTCCAGTGACAGCTTCTCCATCCCGGTTTTCAACTCCACTTGAAGAAGTGGTGGAAGTTTATTCTTATGTAAAGCACGTAGATAGGGATGAGATAACAACTTCCTCTGCAAAACACCACTACATGATTTTAAATGTAGTGGAAGAACATAGCAATGAAGGGTTTAGGATCTGCAATAAAGAATCTGCAACAAACAATGTGTTTGAATATCCATTAAACCATTGTCGTTTTCTTCTTATATTACTTTTACCCTTGAATGTAAAACATTTGATGTTAAGTTGCAGGAAGCAAGTGAGCCAAACACGGAAAACGAGGATGATGTCGAATACGACATGGTGTTCCCGATTTGGGATTGGTACCAAGGAAGATATTTGTTTCCCGAGCCTGAATGTGGCGTTGGCAAGTGACCACTTGTAGCTTCCGAGGATCGATCCAAAAACTTTGATACTGATAGACGTGATTAACCCAACCTTTCTCGACTGAAAGTGAAGAGAGATAAGGTCCTTGAATGGAGGATCAATTTTGATGTGGTTGCTTGTTGTTGTTGCTCTCATCGGGGAGTTGACCAGATCTAACGGAGGACATGGTTATTGGTTAATTATTAAGTTTCGTTTTTGCTTAAATAGTTGTTAATAATGATTTTATGTGTGGCTTTAACAGCGGAGTGGCATTTATGTCCTAATGCATCCACAGGGACATCACGGCAACACCCTCTCAAGTAGGTAGCAATGGGAGTGGAAAGCCAGTACACTGCAACTCTAAGAGCTCATGCCAGGGGAGGAGCTTAGTGAGGGCAGAAAGGGGCTCCGACCCATGCTAAAATTTATATATTCGATATAATTTTAGTCTAATAGTATTTTAATTCATGTAAAAATAAATATTTAAATTAAAAAATATAAGAATTTATTAAATATTTAATCAAGTAAGGACCGAACTAAAGAAGGATAACTCCGTGTTTTCAAAAAATTTGGTCTAATAACAATTTATGTCACTGTAAGTTTAAATATGAGACAAATTAGGTGTTATCTTGTGAATTTTGATTTTTTTTATATAAATATTGGGTGAATACAAGGTAATATCTGTACAAATACTCTCAACTATTTGACAATGAACGCTCATACCCCTACATGTGCAGTGTTTAAACTTGAGACTTCAAGAATAACAACAATCCCTTGATCACTAAAATCGCTTGATTCTTGCTGAATTTTGAGTTTAAATACCTAATAAGTTTTTATATTTTTCTTAAATAGTCCAATATATGGATGGGGCCCCTGTCAATATTTAGTTCTGGCTCTGTCCCTGGTTTGTGCGTTGTCTTTGTACCTTGCATACAACTTTGCTCGTGTAAATATTGTGCACCATTGTTCGTTCATAATTAAATCGTTAAAATGACGACGGTGACTGGCAATGGTTATAATGGCGATCGACGTGGTGATTGGGGTCTGGGTCTGTTCGGATTGAAGACTGAAAATGGAGAGAAATAGAAGGAGGAAGAAGAAGAAGAAGAAAGGAGGAACAAGGAGAAAATGAAGAAAAGAAAAGAAATATATTTTTTTTTACTGAAAATAAGTCGTTTTAGTCTAAATTTGATTTTTTTCGATACCTAAAATTACGTCGTTTTGGTACAAGTTGTCATGTCGTAACACCGTTAAATATTTAAGGGCGGAGTGATAAAAAATCTAATGTATAGAATTCAATGATTAAATTAAAAAAAATTAAAAGTACAGTGAGTGAAATAGAAGATAGTAAAGTTCAGTGATAAATGGTGTAATTTACCCTTTTAATTAAGCTATTCGACTTTACATAATTTATTTATTGTACAACAAATTCCGTGCTTTATTTCCCCACAAATCCCTCTTTAAAATGCCAACAACACTCTTGTTTTTACGTGCAAAATCATCGGTAAAGCAGTGTCTTTTGTTTTGATTTTGGGAAGAATCCTGGGGATGAAGATTCAGCAAAAAGCAATAAAATCATGCAAATCGTCACAAATAACAACTTTATTTTTTTTTATTCAAACTTAGTGGCAAAATATCCATTAAAATATCTAATCCAAATATTTATTTGTGAGTGATCCTTTTAAATATCAAAAGTATTGAATTCATTTAAAGATTTTTAATGATAAAAAAATATTATTCTATTAGAGATCCCGAGTTTAGACAGCTGTATTTGCAGGATATATATGCATTGTTAATGATTAAGAAAAATTTTAAACAAATATTATCGTATAATTACCCTAAACTACTCAAAAAAATCAAATGTGTTCATAATTAATCTGATAATCAATTTAAATTAAATTAAATAATATATAAATTTATTATCAACACCAACTCATTTATGTTAGATGAGAACAAGATATTTTTCATCATGTTCATGTCAGCCATCTTTGATTAAATCTTCTAGAAGAAATGTATGACTTGTTGCAAGTGTGCCAACCTCTTCGTTTACAAAGTCCAAAACTAACCCAGAATTTCCGAGTTGATTAACTAAACTAAGAAAAAGGAAAAGAAAAGGAATTAAAATTGAAATGCTTGTCTGACGGAAGATTTTCTTGTGTAGCAGATGGTATATGGTGTCCTCTTTCTGCAGGATTAATACCTAACCCGCACCTTTGAAATCATACACCAAGCAATTTTCGAGTGTGCTTTCATACGGTACATTCCAAATGCAAACCAAGTTCTAATTTTCATGGAAAAAGAAGGAAGGAAGTCGAAGGGGGCAGCCGCGTCATTTTGTACTGAACCTGCTTCTGTGGACTTATCGTCTCCATTAATCAAATCAAAACGATATATATGTATGCACTAATGTCAAACTGTTGTATATATATGGAAAATCTAAATATTTCCATATTATGAAAGAAAGTTGGTGATTCGAGATTGAATATCTTCTTCTTTCACCAACCACAGACAATCCTTATAGTTCCGGGATTTATATACGTCGATAGTACAAACCAAATTTGGAAAACTTAATTTGCAGATTCTGGAAAAAAATATGACAGTGATGAAGATTACTTTAAGATCCATCATCCCGAGCTGTTCAAAGGGTGTTGTGAAACCAGAGAGTAAACCTAAGAAGAAAGTTTCAAAGCAAAGTTCATTCACGAGGTTCGCAATGTTAGACTTAAGTTATCCAAGCTCGATGTGGTCGGAAGATTTATCGACCTCACTCGCCGGTTCGAATCTTCATGTATTTACGCTCGGGGAGCTGAAGGTGATAACACAGAGCTTTTCGTCGGCTAATTTTCTGGGTGAAGGTGGGTTTGGACCGGTCCATAAAGGTTTCATTGATGACAAGCTCAGGCCTGGGTTGAAAGCTCAGCCTGTTGCTGTTAAAAACCTTGATTTAGAAGGTCCGCAAGGACATAGAGAGTGGCTGGTGAGTATGTATTCTGCTTAACGTTAATTATTACTATTTTCCTCTCTTAAAATTTTATAAGTTCTTACTTGATTTAAAAATTTTTGTCTACGACCGACTATTTTGATTGTTAATAAATGTTTGTTTCTGAACAGACTGAAGTGATCTTTCTCGCACAGTTGAGGCACCCGCATCTTGTGAAGCTGATCGGATATTGTTGCGAAGAAGAAAATAGGCTGCTGGTGTATGAATATATGCCTAGAGGCAGCTTGGCAAATCAGCTTTTTAGAAGTATGTTCTTTCTCTCTGTAATCCTAAACCCGAAACCCGAAATTGAGTGTCGGAGCCGAAACTAATGTCAATCATCCTTGGTGCAGGGTATTCGGTTTCTCTTCCATGGGCGACGAGGATGAAAATTGCTCTCGGAGCTGCCAAGGGTCTTGCCTATCTCCATGAAGCAGAAAAACCAGTCATTTACCGAGATTTCAAGGCATCAAATATCTTGTTAGACTCTGTAAGTGTAGATTTCTTCAAGTTCTTGCTCAGGTAACATGGATCTTTCTAGTTTATTGATGTCATGTTCGAATCAGGATTACAATGCCAAACTTTCGGATTTCGGCCTGGCAAAAGATGGTCCGAAGGGGATGACACGCATGTCTCCACTAGGGTCATGGGGACAGAAGGCTATGCTGCTCCTGAATACATCATGACCGGTCACTTGACAGCGATGAGCGATGTGTATAGCTTCGGAGTGGTACTTTTAGAGCTTTTAACCGGTAGGAGATCTTTAGACAAGAACCGTAGTCCAAGACAACAGAACTTGGTAGAGTGGGCAAGGCCGGTGTTGAATGATCATCGGAAACTTGGTCGGATAATGGATCCTAGACTCGAAGGGCAATACTCAGAAATGGGGGCACGAAAGGCAGCTGCATTGGCTTATCGATGTCTCAGCCAACGTCCGAAGCAGAGACCAAAAATGTGTGATGTGGTCCAGACATTGGAGCTACTTCAGGACTATGAAGATATCCCCATTGGTACCTTTGTTTACACGATTCCAACTGAAAGTGGTCCACCGAAGGAGGACAAGGACACCAAGGAAAGTGAATCCAAAAAGGAGTTGAAGAAAGATGATGGAAATCATCAAAGAAGCCACAAACTCCGTCATGGACATAGGCATCGAAACAGGTCGCCGAGGATGTCTCCGATTCACTCGAAAAATGACTCCGTTAAAAACGGGTCGAATTCTCCCATGCATCACGAGTCAAGGGGAGCATAGAGTATAGATTAGCAAAGCTATGAAACAACATGTAAATAGGATCAATTATACAGATTGCCTTGGATATTGCTTATTGTGAAGAATGTTAAAAGAGTGCAAGTTTTTCTTGAGAGCAAAGACTTGCATTACTTACATTGATTCATTCAAATACAAGAATTTTGTCTTTTGTTTATCGTTGAATGGCTCATCACCAACTATTTTGAATAAAAAAAATTCAAGATTATCAAAACAAAGCACGAAAACAAGTAATAAAGAGATAAAGGTAATGGACGACATTTGTCACAAAAGTGGTAAACTCTATACAAAACTTAAAATTAAGTGGTATTTGATGTAGTTTACCCTTATATTTTTAAGTCTTCGTTGTGCCTGCCACCACCTCTGCTTTGCCGCAAAGACATCTGCCCACCATCCCCGTTTGATCTCAGCCATGGCTACTCTAGATTCCGATGTCCCGATGATTCCCGCCGGTGAGGCTTCAAGCAGCACCGCCCCTTCCTCCTCATCTAAGAAGCCCAAGCGGCTTGAGATCAAAAAGTGGAGTGCTGTTGGCTTTGGGCTTGGGGTGCGTAATCCTAACCCTAATCTACTTCCTCAATCTCTCTACATATAGCTTCTATTTGAAAATAAAATATTCTTTTTACTCTGATTTGTGTAATGGACGCAGATATTGTCGTGGATAATTGTGAAATTTGCAGGAATCACATCATGGACCTTTGTGAGTTTAATTTTTATCTTGAATAACTGTTTTTTGATTCGTTCTATGATTTTTTGTTTTGTTTTTCCAAGCTAACCAAGCCAGCGCCACCAGCGAGGAATGCACTGTTGCTTGGGGTATGTTACTCTTCCTTATAATGTGTTAGGTTAACTTTGCTAAGAACATATCTAAGCTATAGCTTTTAAGATGTTAATGGTGATGGATGAGTTAGATTGATGGGGCTAATTGACTAATCCAATTTTGATTTTCTAAAGCTTTGCCTTGGGTAATTTACACCTAGTGGCATCCAGATGCATAACTTGTATGTTCTTTTGTAATAAGATCAGTTTAAGCAATTCAACCTGCCTGGTAAGTGGTAATTTACTTGATTGAATTTGGGGCTTGTGCAATTTTAGTGAAATGTCAGATTGATTTGTTTTGTTTATAGTTGAGGTTGTCAAGGTTTGATAACTGGATGTAAGAGGCCAGTACACTACCATCAGACCACGTTGTTGTTCATAAATGCCGGATTATTTTGAATCTGAAAGCTATCTGATAATTTCTTTGATTTTTGGCTCGACCAAGTAGCAAAGTATATTGGTATATCTTGCTTTCCTGGTTGTGTAAAGTTAGCCAAAATTGTGAATCCCACCATTATAAATCCGTGACTACACTGCATGAAGTGCTTAAGAAATTAGTTGTTGATCTTTACTTGTTTGTTCAAATGCTCTTAAGAATTCATATTAGTTTGGAGAAACCATTGAAGCACGTGGATGAGAAGAACATAACAATCATGACAGGACAACAGTGTCTTGAACAGCACGAATATGTTTGCCATTTTGCTTGTTATTGGTATTGTTTTGGTCTTGAAATTTTATGGCCTTGCCTATAATAATCGTCACTTAACTTATTATACTATTTCTTAACCTGCATTTCTAATAGCTTCTTGTGTAAGTAGGGGTCTGCAACCATGCATTCCACTTTCACTGTATCAGCCGATGTCTGAAGACTCGTCAAGTATGACCATTGGGTATGCTCTTAATCTCACACTGATATTTTGCCACCCACTTTTTTCCTACTGCATAGCATTTAGTGAATGGGAGTTCCAAAAGTATGGCCACTAGATCTTTTCGATATTTACCAGTTACTCGTATGGCAGAAGATCACACACATTTTCCCAGCTTTCTTCAACCAAGTTGCGTTAATATCTTAGACATTTGATATGCACCGAGTGTAATATGGAAAATATATGAGGATTATCTTTCTTGTGTTAGTTTCTCTCGATGTGGGTGCATATGAATATATTTTCATGTGAACATTATTCCTCGGCTAATCAGATTGTTCATGACATTCAACCTTATTGTTTACTTGGATTGCTTTATTGCCAATATAAATCAAATGATTTACCATCATCTGCAGATATTGATGAAAAATCTTATTGTTTCAAGTCATTTGCTCATAATTGAAGGTTTGCTAATAGATTTCAAGTATTCCAAGATTCCTTTTCTGCCCCGTTTTGTCAAAAGTTTCGTGAACCCTTCTTGAAAGTCTTCACTCTCAGCTCAAAACACATACAAACGATTCCTTCATGAGCAACACGAAGGTTAAATATTGAACATGGTGTACATGGACACGTTAATATAAGTTTTTTTAATAAAAAAATAGTATAAAGTACGTAAAAGATCATTGAACAATGTTCAAATGATCATTTTGGTCGGTAAACTTTTAAGTAATATAAAATAGTCAATAAATTTAAGAAATTATTACAAAATGGTCAATAAATCTATGAAATTTTTACAAAATGGTCCTTCAATTTTATCGAACCATTATAAAATAGTTATTAAATTTATTGAAATTTTACAATTATTATAACATTGCAATGATTATTTTGTAAATTTGAAAGTTTAATGACTAAAATTATCATAAGTTAAGTTATTTGAAGGGATTAATGAAATAAAGTTCATTTCAAGGCTAAAAGCACACATCTTTTAAGGTAAAGAGATTATAAATGATCAAACCATAGGGAGCAAATTTGTAAAAGAATCCTAGTACAAAGGACCAACTTACAATTTAACCAAAGAAAACAATGTATAACATGTGCTCCACTCTTTAAAGATGATTGGCTGAGGCTTATAGAGTGGCTATACGTTGCAATTCTCATCTTCCACAAGCAAACTATTCAGTCCACATGCAAGCAAAAGAAACAAAGGTAAAATACATTCGAGGTCACTGAACTATGTTCAAATGATCGTTTTAGTCAATGATTAAAAGTTTAATGATTTGATAAATTTAATAATTATTTTAAATATTTTAAAAGTTTAATGATTAAAATGGTCATTTGAGCATAGTTTAGTGACATTTAGGGTGTAATTTACCCAAAAATAAATAAAAATTGAAACCCCTAGTTCTCCTCCTACTTACTCCAACATTTCGTTTTTTTAAAACTGGACATTATATCTATATATAAATATAGTTGCCTCAGTCTTGTCAATCATCAGCTTAGCACCAAAGAAATTTCACAACTCGGAGATTTAGAACTCTTGTTTGAGAGAGAGAAAGATACATATGGCGACAAAAGCCAATTCAATTCCGGTTAAAGCAAGCTGCACTGTTCTTCTTCTCAGGTCGTACTTGTGGTTCGGAGGAGGCCGCGTGTGGTAAAGGAGGCGGTTTCGTGGTGACAAACTGTAGCCAGATGGTTGTTTTCCGGGTCGGCGGTTGTGGCGTTCTCGGTACTAAAGGGGAGCTGGTTTTGAGAGATGGAAATGGTGATGCTTTGCTTCTCATACGTGGAAAGGTCATGCAATTTTTGCTTTGATTATTTTTAACTATTTTGATTTTAACATTTTATTTTATGATAAAAAAAATCGTCACGTTTAATTAAATAGTTGATTTGATCATTTTTTTTAAGTATTTTGACCTAAATATTTCATTCTTATTTTAGAACGTAAACATTTGTTCACTCACAATTTTTATCCCGACTTTATTCCCTTAAAATATAATATTGGGGTTAAAATATTAAAAAAAATATAGACCAAAATAATTTTTAATCAAATCGTTAAGAGACAAATTTTTAACAATATGACTATTTTTCTACCATATACTATCAAAACCTAATGTCCAGTCACAATATCCAAATTCGAGCCGGATCAAACCCCTAAACATGAGCCAAAGTTCTCTTCTATAGCTATTTTTTCAATCAATAAGACTCAAATTTAAGATTTTACTCGAGAGATGTAGAATTTTTTATCGTATGTAACTCAAGTCATATCAAATTATGAGGTGCAATTAAAGTTAAAGCCTAATGGTCGTTGATTCTTATATTCCAGGGAGGCGTAGTTGAGGCACTAAGCATACATAAAAAATGGAAAGGTTACAGTTTTGGTTACGAAGGATAAAAAAAATCTGGTTTTCACCTTAAAGGAGCCTCGTTCATGTCTAGCAAAGCACGATGCCATAAGAATCTCCACTGAACCAAAAGGAAGCAGCGGCGAGGAGTGGGACTATGAAATCAGAGGCTGTTTCCCCGACAGAGATTGCAGCATCATCGATTCCGTAGGCAACGTTGTGGCTCAGGTTTCATTCAACCCTATAACATCGTGTCGAGTTTCGAGTTTCTAAATCGAAACGAATGACAGATTGGAGTGAAGAAGGAAGTAGAGGAGTTGATGGCAAATAAAGATCTGTATCATGTTGCTGTGAAACCCGGAATGGACCAAGCTTCCGTTTTTGGAGTCATTGGTGTACTTGATTACATCCATGTCGAATCCACAAGGTCACTTTAACTAATATATGAATATGTTTGTTGTTTTCCGAGAATTGTAATGAAGAATGCCATGTGTCGCTGTAGTAAGTTAAAATAAGATTTGGGATTGAATTTTCCACTAAAATAATGGATTTAATGAAGTATCAGATGCTATTCGTTATCCCCGACTAACTTGAGGTTATGTTTGCCTCAACTAATAAAGTCGTCGTCTTGACGATGAAGGAAAGGAAAAAGTTAACAAATATAAGTTAAAGATTATGGGGAAAGGAACAATTTTTTTAGAGCATGAAGCAATAGTTTATGAAGAAATTTAAAAGAAGGATAATTGATTGAAGAAGACGAAGAAACGTTACTAGCACATGATTCAAGAACTAAAAGGTAGCTGTAATTCTGGTAAAATGAAGAAGAATACTATTGGAGAAATGGTGTCAGGCGCAAGCGCAAACGCTCTCCACCACCACTTTGTCGCCATCGGCGGACCTGAAAAGCAAGTACCCAACAGACAGACCCAAAACGATAGCCAAGAAAACGCCTCCGTTGAACGACATGATGGCCAACATAAGGAGATATCCCACAGCCGAGTTGGTTCCGAAGAGCAAGGCCGTCGCGAATTTAGCGGAGTTGCGGTAACTGGGGAGGAGAGGAACGGCGGGAGAAGCGAGGGATCTGAAGCGGAGGCGTCGATCTTCCATGTACTGATAAAAGGAAGCGAAGATGGAACAAGCGAGTAAGGTTAGGAGGTAACTCACCCATGAATGGGTCTTCCAGGAATCGATGAGCAGAGTCACGTCCTTTCCCCAGTAAAAGGTCATGCGCATCATCTTGTCCGAATTGTCGTTGATTGAATGCAACCTCAAAACAGAGACGAAAATGGAAGATGAGTACAAGGGGAAAGTAGAAGTGGTGATTGTCGGGTTAAGACATGAACCTTAAAGAATTAGTTATGTTTCGATGTTTACGATATCTGCACCAGTCCACTTATGGGATTTTGGCCTTTTGGAGTTTCGACTTACGGTTATGCCCTTAACAACCTCGGGAAAGACGAAGCCTGGTAATGGAATAAACGGGAAATACTCTGCAGTGCCCCTTCTCCCTCTCTTCCAATTCAATTTATGATCTAACAAAGACACTTGAAGCATCCCTAAATTCCACCAAGTATTTATATGTATTCAAAGATACATAAAATTTAAATGTCGACTTTAGACATCGCTGCAATATTATATGTACAACAGTGATTTCATTTAGTATTAATACCCGATTTAGTCCTTAAAATTTACATAATCTAATCTAGATTTAGTTCAAATCAGTCATCAGTTTAATTTTTGTTTTTCGATGTTATATTATTTTCTTAATATAATAACAGTTCAAAAGTAACTTGTGTTACTTTATGACAAAATACAATTATCTAACTGCTACTTTGATCCAATAAATTTACTTAGTTTGACAATATTAAAAAAACAATTAATAGAAATTTTAAATATAAAAAAATTAAATTTATTGAATTATATTTAAAATAAAAAATAAAACAGATAGAATATATAAATTTTGAGACTATTCGGTGTATAAAATTTGATCGTCATCATTTCAAAATGGATGGGTTTGTGTAACTTTTGATTCTTGAACTGGTTTGATTTATTTGGTTGATTAAGTAACAAGTGTTATGACCAGATTAACTTGGGGAATGTTTCAGGTTTCATCGTGTAGCAAAATGAATGGGTCGGTTTTGGTTTGAAGAGAATCCAATGATGGGCAAAAGGTGGCGGTGAGATGGAACTTGTATGGGAGCTGATGTTGAAGGTACGAGATGGTCCGAATTAGAGAATTAGCACATGCTAATGCTTGTAGACCAGAACTCGACAATCATCGATGGAAGTGCCGGTTAGAACAGTAATCAGCAGACATGCAACAAATTTGGACAATTGTAATCTAAATGCAGCTGATGGCAATGGTGTTTTCAAACAACTATCCGGTAACATTTTGCTTGCTCTAGGAGAAACTCTCAGAAATAACATGATTTTAGTTTAAAGTTTCAAGCAGTGATAGAAGGCAACATAATTGTAAGATCCAAACCTTCTTCCAATCCCTCTCAAACATGATGATCAACTAAAGCACATTTGTTGTTTCAAATGATAACAGAAAGGTCTCTGCAGCAGCTAGTGTTAGTCCATGCTCACTAGTCGCGCTCGCTTATAGCTGTCAAATGTTCATCGATTTCCTCGGTTGTCAGCACTCTGAAAACTGGATTATCAGCTTTCACCACTCCCACCTGCCAAGCATTAGAAGATGTTAATGTCAACTACTGTTCAAATAGAGGGAAAACTAGGCTCGTGAGTTTTCGAGCCAAGTCGAGCTCCATTTTAGAGTTTTCTAGTCGAGTCAAGCTTAACAATACTCAAACTCGACTCGGCTCATTTACAGCCCTAGGGAAAACTACAATAACTTCAAAATCTGCAATTGTTGGGAACATATGTATGCATTTATATTAGAGAAACAAAATCAATTAAATTAGAGTGAGACTAGACCATAAGCAGCCTATCAAACCAACAAAGGATATCCCAGTAGTAGGTTGTTTTCGGATCCACATTGGCATTGTGTGCCGGTCTCTAATAGGTTGAAAGCAAGCTAGCTTTTAACTGTAGCGTGTCCCTATGGTAAAAAAGTAAAAACATGTGTGTGGTGCTTTCTGCATGTCCGGACAACCCCCTAGAGATTTTTTCAAATCCACATCGACAATGTGAGTTTCTTATAGGTCTTTTAACTACTTGTGTGTCCATTTGGCTAATAAGATAAATACATGTCTGTGGTGCGTTCCACATGTCTGGACAACCCCCTACTAGGCTGTTTTCAAATCCACATCAATAGTGTGTTTGAGTTTCTAATAGGTTATGTAGAATTCCATGGTAGTCAAAATCAGCTAACATTCGACTACTGCCTACTGGTGTGTCCTTTTATAAAAATATGCTAATTATATAGTTTATCTTCAGGGAATATTTATTAAACATGACAATCACCAATGATATTTAATCATTCAAACATTTAGATAGTTGCAAACTTACAAAGGCAAGATATTAAAAACTGTAATCACTAACAACCAGAAGGACCAGCTGACTCATCATACCTCTATCTCAGTAGCCTTGAAATCCTCTTGAAGAACAGATTGCAGAGCAGAAATAGCAGTCTGCAGAATAGTAGTAATAGGAACCATTAGATAAATGTGATTACTTTAGCTAATGTTAGAAATGCGGTCTTTGGAAACTTCCTTTACCGTACTTAAAAAAAATGAAATATAAATACCTGCACTGTTTCCTCATAAGTAAAAGCAGGGTCATTCTTCATCTTCTTTTCCAAGAAATTAATTGCCTCTTGCTCTTTTGATCCAGCACTGGTTGCCTGCAGCATATCAGTCAAAATTCATCCCGCTGTCAAAATGTTTATCCTAAAATTAGTCAAAAATAATTTTTAATCATGTTACTGCACCAATCAGTTCAGATTGGAGAACAAACATGCTACTCTTATGCCTAAAGAAAATGACATAGTTAGTATCATGAACTCATGGCAGCAAAGACACATAATAGGAAAGGTACTGGATAGCCAGGTACAAGAATATAGGATAATTCCCATTTGAAGAACTTTGTTTGGATGCAGCTTCCAAAATCTATGGTTTCGCAGTCTTTCATTATCATAAACAAATCAAACAAAAAAGGGAAAAAACCTTCAGCAAGTACGTTTACTACCTTCATAACACAAATAAAGGTCTTGTAAATGATAAGTTAGAGAAAACTATTAGAGAAAAATAGCAATGAATCATTACTATGATAATACTATATGCTTCCAGAACCAGGTGTATAGAACAAAAGTCGAGAATTCAAACTCAATGAGCTATATAAATTAATTTGGAAACTACCTTGTGACCGTAAAAATGGCCGGCTGGATCACACTTGTAGAGTTGGGGTCCCTTCTCTTCATCAATACCCAAAACCATAGCAACTTCACATAAAATAGTAGAAAGCGGGTAAAATTTGAGAACGTTACTCGTAGACAAGTACAAAAATTAAAAAAAAACCACAGTAGTAAGATTATGAATAAAAAATACACATACCAACTCCAAGAGGTCTCATATAAGCATGTTGAGTGTAAACCTGTGATTTGTCGGCAATCCTACATCAACAAAGCATGTTATTCTAAATAACCTGCACAATCATTGAACTGCACTAGGACCCCAAATATCAAAGAGAAGTCAATGAATAATTCAAAACAATAGTAACATAACACGTGGCCAGTTACTGGTTTTTGAACCAAGATTATATTCATGAGCTACAAAAAACACTGCCTGCAATCTTTATTTAAAGAAAAACAAATAAAGAATCAGGGTCGAATTTTTTTCACAATTTCTACTCGGAAACATAGAAGGGCATAAACTTGCAGCCAGCTTAAATCCAAATGACTGGTATTGATGTCACAAAATCTGTTCAAAGTTAAAAAATTCTCCAGAAGAACTCTATAGATACAACAGACACCGATGGGAACACAACTAAACATCAGTAATTTCAACTGAAGAAGATATAAAAAACCGTACCATTTGGACAGTACATCCACAGGCATCTCATATCCATATCTGAACCGAAACTCAGCTGCTTCATTCCTTGCTTGCTGGACCAAGGTCCTTGCATCAGCTGCAGAGCGACAACACCAATTAGCAAAGCATCCCTCACAAAGTATTTGTAACAATAAAGAAAATTTTCCAGAGAAAGCTGATCATTATGTGAATGCCAGGGTTAATCTACTAAGAAAACCATTCTGTTCTAAGTTCTAATGAACATTTCTAAAGCTTTCATACCTTGGATGCACTTTTGGAAAATTTTCCAACCCTAGATTAGACTGATTATAAGCTGGAAGTTAGGTACATTAACCAAGAATCCTTAAAATCCCCAAAACCCTAGTTCAGTAGTCAACGTAACAAAATCTTGTCAATTCGAAAAAACAATATTAAATAAAAATGGTATTTAAAGAAACCAAACCTGTCATGCCAGTAGCCAACAATCCAAGGAACTTAGTAATAGGGAAAAGATGAGTGACACTAGTCTGATCCAAAAGCTTGTCCTGCATTGCATTACTCAAAAATTAAACACCCAAATCGCCAAAACCCCTTAACTAACCCCAAAAAAGGAAACCCGGAAAAAATCAAAGAGTGTACTGACAGGAACTTTCTTCTGAGTAACAACACAGACTGAATCTTTTCCTCGAACACCAATCGATGTGATCCCAGCTGCTTTCACTGCCTTAAACGCATACTCTGCTCAATTCATTACAAAATGAAAATTGGGTCAAAGTCATTTATAAGAACCAATTACAAAAGTAAGCTAATAGAGCGAATATATATATATATATATATATATATATTTATTTACATACCGACTTGGAATAGACGACCTTCGGGAGAGAAGATGGTAATATGGCGATCGTATCCGCCTCCACTTCCTCGACTCATTTTCTCTCTTGTTTCTTCGGAATTATTTTGTTTTTCGTTCTGTTGTTTTTGGTGTTTGGATGCAGCGAATCTTAATTAGAAGAGAAAGCTTCTTCCCCAAGAACAAAATAGGACTCTTTTGAGTTGACACACAGATGAAGAAAACCAAGTTGTTTGTCCAAAATAGCCTTCTTTATTTTCTTGAAATTACTATTGTTTCCTGGTTTTTTTCTCCTCTTTACATTCACATCCTTTTTCTGAATGGAGGTTGGGAGGGGTCGTTCTGCGGTGCGGCGCCTAAAAAACGGTTAATATACGGCGTGACCGGTTAAACAAGTGACCGGTTAAAATTTAGACCGGTTATGTTATATTATTTAACCGGAAATATTATAAAGTACAATAACATACTAGGTAGCGCTTATATAATGTAATA